TATCTGGGGAGCTGGAAGATGAGAACTGGCGACTTTGTAGTACAACTTTAGTACGCGGAGCAAGCTGTGGAGCTGGAAGCTGAGAACTGGCGACTTTGTAGTACAACTTTAGTGCGCGGATGAGTCATCTCTCGCGGCTGAGTCATCTCTCGCGGCTGCTCTGGCGCCCCTGCAGCTCAGTCATGTCTCCCGACCACCCGGCTCTCTTGAGAGGTTGACAAATTTTGGCTACTTTGCTTACTCATAAGTGGCTACCACAAAAGAGTCATCGTGACGTTAGTATGTGTGTACTTCACCTTCATGACAAACGATGTTCGCTTGGAATACACGAGTCGCTTGTCATGATCGCGACGTCGTTTACTCTCAGGTCGCCCTGTTCGTGGAAACTTCAGTGTGAAATATACGTTCTTCAGTTCTATTTGAACCTCTTCAGCGTTGTACTTGCACAACTAAGGTTGACGTTGCACTGCCGTTGCATCGACGCACCTACGTCTACACTCCCTCACCTCTCTACATTTACATCTTCACACGCCTCACATCCGCAGATCTACCTCTCCACACGCACCTGCACATCTATATCACATCTGTACATCCACACTGTCGCTCCTTCACATCTGTCCTGTCTTTCTTTCTTTCTTTCTACATATCTTTTCTCTCGTCTCTGTGCATTTACATCTTCGCACGCTCACATCCACAGATCTACCTCTCCACCTCCATACATCGACAGATCTGAATCTATATCGCACCTGCACACCACACTGTCACTCCTTCACATCCACCCTCTCTTTCTCTCTTTGTATATATCTTTTCGACAGTGCTGGACAATTACATGTCTCGCTCTCGGGCCAACCGTCGTCTAGTTTTTTATCGGACTAATGGCGATGGCCTCCGACCTAGAATCCAGAAGATCAGAAGCGATGGCCTCCAACCTGCTTTCTGTATCCCTTTTTTTGGGAGACGCTTTCCCTCTTCCAATTCACACTTCATTTTTTGGGCGTGTCGGGGAACTCGCACAACCATTCAAAATTCGAAGAAACTGTCCATCCGAGAACGGAAATCGACTTCCGTCCCTAAACGTGGTCCGTCGACTCGTCCAACCGGACTTTACGAACCATGTGGGGATGAGGGATGTTCCGAATAGTTCAAGGCACATGTGCCGCAACAGAAAATTTTGACTCATCTCCATCTTCCATCATTGACCATCCTGCATCCTTCTTGTTTCTTTCACAAAAGGATGTTTGTTCACCCG